CGATTCTGATTCAACAGATTGTTCTAAAATATTAGATATTGTCCTTTTATTACTAAAATTAGAAGCAATGTTTTGTGCTACATTTGAACCAGCACAAATGCCAATATCCAATGAAGTGATTGCGGACATAGGAATTGTCGATGATCCGGATGTAGATACTACTGTTGCAGTAGGTGTTGTTGGAGTTATAGGTGTTGCAGTATTATCTGCAATTTTTCCATCGCTATTTGAACCAACACGTCGGATTATATCTGGTGTTGAAAAAAGCGCTGGACCTAGAGTATCAGCTACATATCCCGGAACCTTCCGATTATCCTTTTTAAGTTTCTTCGCGCCTGTAAAAAAATGGTTTAGTACTTAAAAGTACAATTCAATGAAAGATTTGAATCAGTTTGATTTACTTTTAATATGATAATATAGTTAGAAAAACACTGACCATCCAGTGTTTTATTCTCTATAGACTTTGCAGAATTTTCTTCTCCCTTTGAGAATAATTCTATGCTAGTATCAGATTTTCTCTTTTCCCTTTTTATATCGCCAAGTTTGATCTTTAATGGAGTACTACTAGTTGGTGAAGAAATTTTCGATTGCTGCTGCACTGATAATCCTTGGCTCACAGCCTGTGCAGATTGCTGTGATACATGCTGCTGTGTCAATGTTGCTTTTACTTGAGAAACCTGCATATTCGGACTCATTGTTTTAGATGCTATTGGTACTAATTTCCCATCTTTAGTTGCAAAAAACTTTGTACCCGTTTGATTCACAGATTTTCCCTTAGGAAACATCATGGGCTTTTTAAGCCCGATGTTCTTGAGTTCGTTCGGTTTCATTGGGACTTGTTTTTGAACAAAAGTAACTTTTTGATTACTTCTTCCTTGACCAGGTTTTGTTAATATCATATCGCCCTTAATCATATTGGCGTTAATTAGATTCGCTTTCACTTGATTTGTCGTTTGCAGCGGTTTCTCGTATGCTGCTTCATCAGACGGAGACGCCTCCGCGTATGGCGATTCCTCTTTCTTCTTTCCGCCGAGAGTTTTGATTTGTCTCTTACTCTTAGTTGGACTAAACCTCTCTGATAACATTGAAATTACATTATTTCATTCAGCCATTAAATCAATCACTTTCTTAACTGATTTTACTCACCTGATCTCTCGTCTTTCTCGGGAGTTTTCATTGCATTAACGGCAGCAGCCATTTCCATGTCTAATCGTCGCACCTGCTCCATATCCAGATGTTTATTTTGACCTCTTCTTCGAACGGCAGCCATGCTACCGCCCCTGGTAGTAAGACCTTTTCGTCCGCCTCGAGCCTTGGCATTAGTTCTCTTGGTTCCACGAGGACCAAAGTCCGAATCGTTATCATTATCAGATGGTGGTTCAGATTCCGAGGATTCCGTGGATGATTCTGTGATATCGTCATCCTCTTCCTCCTCGTTATTCCTGCCTTGCGCTACAAATATGATCGTAATAATGAAATTAATTCTTAGCATTATATTTTTTTAGGAATAAAATTTTTAAAACTGTTAATACAGAGAGATTAAAATTTAATACCTTTAGTTACGCCATGCTGGACATTTGTTAGATTTCTCGATGTAAGATGATGTCCTGATAATTTGGGAGTTCCAACAATGTTTGCATTAGCTCTAGAAAGCCCAGTTACATTTGTAGGTGTAGACACAGTAACTTTACGTATTGGTCTATTCATTTGTTTGCTTTGCAATGGTGCCTATCGAAACAACAATAAAATATGACATTATTAACCTCTTACATTATAATAATATTTTATTATGTAACAATATGATCACTTACACTCACACTCTTTACAGTAATCTTGCCCTTAACTCCAGTATTTTCTACATCATTAATGGATGACATAACAGTTGTTCGAGGAGATAATGATTGATGTATATATTGCACATCATTAGAATCAGGTGAATCGTCAACAATTGGTAAGGGATCCCTTGGTATTGGATCATTGGGCGACAATCTGCTTGTATAACAATGATCCAATTGTATACTATAACGTATGGTATTCTGCTGCTCTTCTACTGATAACATATCTAAAAAAAACAAATGCATAGAGAAGTTCCAAAATAAATCAATATCTATTAAATAACATTGGAGAAATAAAAAGTGCATTTACGTATAATAACTTAAATTTTGCATGTATTTACGCCGGTAGAGATGTAATCAAAAATCGCTAATGTAAACAGAAGACTCCTATCTAGCATTGCAATCATAAAAAAAGAGCTTAAACTTAACAAAAAAAAAATAATATACAAAGTACCAAGCATTGCAGTGACATTCTCCCCGAGTATCTGCTTTGCCTCTTCGCTTTGGAGAGCTGTCTCTAATCTTTCCAACTGTTCTGGATCCATCTCCATAAAAGGATCTACCAACCCACCCGAGTCGGTACTGGCATTAGCGCTTACCGAGCTCGCTGTAGGATGTGTAAATGTCGGTGGATCTACAGTCAAGGTTATATCCCCATTTTCGATGTCTGTCTCAGTTTGTCCGAGTCTTACCACGCTAACATTAGCGGTTGATTGGGTCACTGCAAAAATATATAATAAGCGATTTAGTGAGTTGTATGTTGCAGCGAATTAAATACTATTATACTTGATTCGTCCATATCTCCAATCTGTCCAATCTCATCGTATATCTTTTACCTTATCAATTCGCTCGCAGCCACTTACTTATCAAGTTCTGTAGAGTCGCCTGATCGACGGATAAAGTTCCATCGTCGTTTACAACAATTATTAACGTGTCATCCTTCTTCTCGGAGTCGCTTTGCGGCTCGACGATATACGAGCTGGACATCTTTGCCTGTGGAACAGAACGAACGATCAACATATCGACTCTCGCATTTTCGCGAAGAATTCGACGGGACGAATCGCGGGGGACGATTGAGGTTATGATTACCTGGGCGCGCCAAATTACGTTCGAACAATTATCGGCGGTTCGTTTCGTGAATTTGGAGTATCCAGCTGCTACTGACTCGACGCATATCTCGATCGCAATGCGAACCCAAGCGACGCGCGAGGATGGCGAGCGGAAGCTTCGCGCTTCCTCGTAAAAAGTCCACACCGCCAATCGCGACGATGTAACGTAACGACCACTACCACTACTTCAATGTTACCTGACGTTGACTGCGCACAAAAAAAAACGGAAGTATCCCTACTGTACCCGTAATCGAGACAGCATAAAACCCGAGCGATGAGAAAAGACGCGCGGCGACCAAGTAATCGACGACAGGCGCGCCTCACCTTGGAATGCCCACTCTGCTTCAGCCTAACGGGTAAACAACAGCACCATCGAGCATTCGCGGGCGGCCATTTTGTTTGGCTCGCGTTGGACAGCGTAACGTTTGCCCGTCATTGTCGTCCACGATGACGACAACGATCGTGGAGTTTACCCGTTCTTCCCGTTGTCCGTTACTGCTTTTCCTCTTTTCTCTTTTATCGCCAACAAGATTTTCTCCGACGACAATACGGTTTCGTAAAAAAAAAAACACTCTGCCCGCTTAATCGCGATAACTCAGCGATCCATTGCGTCGTCCTTCCGCGAATTGGTGGCCGATTATCATGCACGACTATACACATACACACATGCAAGCATACATACATATACACATGGCGCGTCGCGCGTTGTGCAACCAAACCAAAGCGGCGCGCGAATTCAATCTCAGGAAACAAACGGAATGGAACAACGGAACCGGATGTGCGAGATGCGACATATTTCTTTAGCATCCATAGCATATGTTATATATGTTATATGTGCGTTTATCATGCCCTTTCTAGACCAGAGGATAATCCTACTTGTGGCTTGTGGTTCATCTGACTAACTTCAATATGATTTTTGTCCGTTTACATCTACACTACGCACTCAAATGAACCACAATAAATACAGGATTATCCTTTGCTCTAGAAAGGGCATTAAAGAAGCAACGAGCAATCTGCCAATGGCCGAATCTTCATTAATCTTACAAGTTAAGATCAATTTTTAATTAGTAAAAGAGATAAATTGTATAATGCGGTCATTTTCATCGAGTATATATTAATACAGCTCTGATTCTAGAGAATGTTAATTTTTTTTACTATTTTTTATATTATCGAACGCGAATAGTTTGCGATACGTGTCGCTATGAAAATTGGAATTTGGAATGACGAAAATTAAATATTTCATATTGAATAGGCGTGCTTTTATTAATTTCAATAATAATGGACAAATGGAATGGCTGTATTATAGTTGCGATAGAATTTTCTTTGTAATATTTTATTTGATGTTTACGCTTGTGCAATATATATATATAGAATAATTAATTTTATCATGAAAAGTATAATTATGTGTATACAAATAAGAGTAACGGAGATAGTGTATGACAGATTATGATACAAGATAAGAGGAATCGACATCGCGCGCATAATTTTTAATATGGCGTCGACTCCTTGTCACGTGATCGTTTTAGTTCGCTATGTCCGAGTCGAAAGATAGGTGGCGCTGAAGCTGGATCCTCCCCCACTTTTCTAAGTTTTTAGTTTTTCTGTTTTTCTCATACACGCTAGATACACGCTGTGAAAAATATTATCATGGAAACGAACGAAGTGGTAAAACCCAAGAGAAAAGTTAAAAGAGGAATAATATATTTGTCCACAATCCCGAAATATATGAACGTCACAAAGATCCGGGAGATATTCTTGGCTTATGGCAAAGTGGACAGAGTGTATTTACAACTAGCCGAAAATGGTTAGTTTATGTTCTTATTTTATTGTTTTTTTTTAAATATCGCAAATTATACATAATCTAGAATAATTAATTTTATCATGAAAAGTATAATTATGTGTATACAAATAAGAGTAACGGAGATAGTGTATGACAGATTATGATACAAGATAAGAGGAATCGACATCGCGCGCATAATTTTTAATATGGCGTCGACTCCTTGTCACGTGATCGTTTTAGTTCGCTATGTCCGAGTCGAAAGATAGGTGGCGCTGAAGCTGGATCCTCCCCCACTTTTCTAAGTTTTTAGTTTTTCTGTTTTTCTCATACACGCTAGATACACGCTGTGAAAAATATTATCATGGAAACGAACGAAGTGGTAAAACCCAAGAGAAAAGTTAAAAGAGGAATAATATATTTGTCCACAATCCCGAAATATATGAACGTCACAAAGATCCGGGAGATATTCTTGGCTTATGGCAAAGTGGACAGAGTGTATTTACAACTAGCCGAAAATGGTTAGTTTATGTTCTTATTTTATTGTTTTTTTTTAAATATCGCAAATTATACATAATCTTAGCGATTTTATTTTTGCGATTAAAAAAACGTTTTCTATAAATATTAAAAAAATAATTTTCAAAAGTAATTAATGAAAATAGGGATTAACTTAAATTCTTGATTATATTGATACACAAATTTCATTTAAAATACCAAAATGTTTTAGAGGCACAATCGGCTAAAAAGAAGCGGAAAAAGGCGATCAAGCATTTCACTGAAGGTTGGGTAGAGTTTGAAAGTAAGAAAGTAGCAAAATTTGTAGCAGCAACATTAAACAACACTCAAATATCTATGAGAAAGAAAAGCAAATTTTATGATATTATGTGGAATATCAAGTATTTGCCTAGGTAAGCATAAGTGATACAAAAATATATTTCGTGTCTTTACTTGTATCCATAAATGATTAATATTTATCTATCATTTATATTTTATCTTCTCTCACAGATTTAAATGGATTCATTTGAGTGAGCGGTTAGCATATGAACGTGCCGTACATAAACAAAGACTTTTAACTGAAATAGCACAAGCTAAGAGAGAAGTCAACTTCTTCTCGTATAATGTAGATAGGAGTAAGAAATTACTTAAGAAACACAAGCAAGGAAAAGAGACAACTTTCGAATTGCATGAAGTTAAGCAAAGGGATACTGACAGTGAGATAAGGAATAGAAAAGCAGAGAAGATAGATGTAGAAGATAGAACAGACTTTCTTAAATCAATATTTGGATAAAATTTTATAGATTCAGTGTATATATAGGTATCGTATAATTATATAACAATATATTTATAGTGATTAAATGTACAAAGAAACTTAAACTGTTCAATTGTTTTATAATAAAACTTGTTTTTTTATAATTTCTTATTTATATTAGAAACCAATAGTTACGTGATAATTTTATTTATTCCATACATGTAGCAGTCATTAATTAGAAATCTTTTTCATTAGAAAGAAAAATTTCATAAATTTATTACAGTAGAATTTTATTTGTATTTAAAAAAAATTATATTTAATTGAGAAAAGTCACTTATAAACATTTTCTTCCATTATAATGAAAACAAAATTATATAATTCTTGATTGCTGAATAATATTTAATAGAAATAATTCTCAGATTAACAAAAGTAAAATATTTGTGTTTTTGGCAAATATTTCTTGAAACACATTGTGTATAATGTGATTGATTTTGACCACATAATGTAGCATATTATGGTGATGAAAATTGTAGCATGTGTGAAAACATTATACCAATATAAGAATCTTCTATGTGTATATAAATATCGATTTTAATCAAGCAACGTTTTGATATCTGATTCAGCAATTTTTGTGAAATCATTTAAATAAACATTTAAATGGATTTTGATTTTCTCTTACATAAATATACATGTATGGAAATTTAAGCGATAAGCTCTATTCAGAAATTTCTGGCTTTGTTTATATCATTTGGCAGATGTTAAAGGCAAAAAGGACCTAAACAAATTTGTTCCGAGATCCCTTACATTTTTGTATATAAATATCCTTAAAATCAATTGATATACATATATGTATATACGGCGGTTAAAGAATCAATCTATAGACAGAATGCGGGTTTGGACGGATTCCAAAATAGTGGAATTACGATTAACCGTGGTAAGTTGACTCGTGTTATCTTTTTTTTCGATGCAATTATTTTCTTATTCATCTAAATTTATAAGAAATAAATTACATTTCACGGCAGTTAAGAAAACGTGCATTAATAAAATCCCTCGCTCTTGCGAAATTATATACGCGCATGTCCAAACGGTATATATACATACATACACACGTATATATATTTTGTCGCAAATTTATTTAGACGACACTTTGTTGATCTTGCTTACTTATCGATCTGGCTAAGTATTTATTAGTAGAACCCTCGTCTATTGATTGCTCTGAAAAAATAAGGTCAAATCCTTTAAAGAGTGTCAGAGCAGCTTCCTAGATCTCGCGGTACTTTCATAAATAATATTAAAGCGGATCTATCTGTTTAAACTGGGCGTATGCGTTATTGTTTATCGTCATTAATAAAACTTCACAGGCAAATCTATTGCAAGAATATTTCTCAGTCGGTGAATATAGGAAAAATGTATCTGTAAAATATAAATATATAATGAAAATGTATTGAAAAAAATCCATTTCTGCTTTTCGGAATAAGAAATTGTGTGAATTTAATACTTCTTCTCGACCTCTTTTTATTATTCCTCGATTAAGGCGCCATGTAATTAAAAGCTGAATGTGAAGTAGAAAAAGAAATGTGAAGTTTTAACATATGTTTAAAAATATTGAGAGTAATAAATATATTTTTTAAAATTTTCTAACTTTCCAAATTTCCAAATTTCCTGTAAGAATGAACGGCAATTACAAACAGAAAGCAATTGCAGTTCTCGTAAAGGAATATGAACAAAAACATAAATTATAGAATATAAGAACGTAGTTCCTTTTTAAAAACACTCAATGAATGGCATAATATATTAAAAAATAGTAATTTAAATAGTTAATAATGAGATTAGTTTGCTAATGAATTCAGTTACTTATTTTTCCAGATCGCGCTCCCTTCTTCCAGATAGTTTGAGATATATGCGCGTTCGTTTGCCTGCCATCATCTCAAATTGCAATCAATAGATACCCGTCGAGACGGCGCCAAAACGCGCGTTTTTATCCTGCATAGCTATAGTTCCTGCGCGTGATAAATACATAGGAAGGACAGGATAACTCGAGAATTACGACGACTTTTATGATCGACATCATGCCGTGCGATTTCCCTTCCCTTATACCTTATCGCCGGTAGAATGACGCATCAGCAGAACTTCGAAATAACAAGAACTTAAAGCGACGTCTTGGACAACATCACCTGAAAGTTTCATTCAAATTGTAGCGGCACGTATGATTGTATTCTTCGTCCAAAATCTTGCGCGCGGATGCGAATAAAACTTTTGACGGCGCGGAGCCGGAAAACAGAAGTTACGGAAGAGAG